CCCAACCCCCCCCCCCTCCCCCTCCCGACCCACGCGGCCGCCAACAAAAAACCGCCGAGGGGCATGGAGATGGCGACCTTCGCGGTGGCCACCGCCTTGTTGGCCGCCTTGATCGCTTCCTCGGGAGGCCACGCGGAGCCGCTGAAGAATCTAAGGTTGGGGCGTTCCGAAGTGGCAACCAGGGACCCTGGGGGGGTGGGGAGGAGGGGGGGGAGGGGGGGAGGGAGGGGAGGGAGGGGGGGGTTGATCCCCCAGTGTTTTCGACCATCCTTCTTTTCAATTGTCGGATCGTCCGTAGACACCTGCAACCACCGGAAGTGCTCCACATCGCCTTTTGTGGCTGCGTCAGCCTTCCTCCCCCTCCACTGCTCCACGCGTCACGTGTCACCCGTTGGGCCTCGACCCAAACTTACCCTGTTTGTGTTGACCCCCAGCCTGCTGTTTAACAAACTGCTTGGACCCGTAAACCAAAAGCCGCTCTGATTGGTGGCTTGGATTGGTGAAGGAGGGGTTTCCCATCTACCCGGCCTCCTCGTCCCCCTGGCTGGCGTCCACCGCCTCCTTGGCCAGCTGCAAGGCCTGAGACATCAAGTCCCCCCCAACCCTTAAACGTCACCAACGCGAAACGGGCGGCATGAGCTGTATATATATATATGTATAATGTATATATATATACATAGATACACGTAAGTAGCCTCTCCTTCTCCTCCTTTGTGCTGCGTCTTGTTCCAAGCCTTCTGTGTCAGTCAGCAAGCTTATTGAGAAAACCAGTTGTGTCAAACTGCTCGGGTGACAACGGACTGTGTTGGACCTAGGCCCAAAACAAGGCGCCAGTTGCCTCGGTCCCTTTTCTTCTCCAAAACGACGAGGGATGCTAAATTAGAATAGCAGAATTCGACACTAATATAAGCAAGCAAATTCTCCCACGGAGCTCTCGTGCAGTCTTATTTGGGGACCCGCTGCCCTTGATCAGCAAACCCTAAACAGCCAACCTAAAACCAGGTTTAAGTTGTTTAAATTCAAAAAGTGCTACCAGAAGTGAACAAAATCACAACACTACTGGAGTTGCAGACGCCTAATTATGCAAACTCAAACCATTGTTTTTGGGGGTCTCTTCTTCCTTTCGTTTTTTCCCCCAACAGCTGAAAGCCTTGGGGTCTCAGCCCAGATAAGCTCCGGGGTGGTCCGGGGCGGCCCTGAGGTACGGTTCCACGAGGGTTCCACCAGGCTTTCACGAGGTTCTGCGAGGGCTGCGAGGTGGTGCGAGCACTAAAAAGAGCACCGCATGCCGTTGGGAATATCACCTGAGCTTGTTGTTGCTTTTTCTTTTCTCTTTTTTTTGGTGGGGGGGCGGGGAGGGGAGTACTTGTCCCATTAACAAGTATTAGGGAGAGCGGACAACAAGCGCTCGCGGGTATTTGGCGGCATTCCCATCTGCTCTGGACAACGCGCATCCCCTTCTGGCTTGCTGTTGGGAAGTTAGCAATTGTGGGCTGTCCAGCGCCCATCTACGCAAACAAGCTTGACGTGCTGCACGCTCGTGAAAGTCAAGACACCTACGTAGGAATAGAAAAGCAACCAACATGAAACAAACCACTTGACGGGCCCCCGAAATGATTTGAGAATCCCAATATCAAGATTGGCTCTGATATACTGATTGTTGAACTTGGCAGTTTGGCAACTCCATGCTTTGCCCACAGCCATGCTTCACTCATTGTCCCATTGTTGGCACAGCAAAGTTTGTGGCATCTTCTCGTAGATTTCCCAAAATGAGATGCAACTGTCAAGCGCCAATCATCGATGTTGCAGCGAGTGTTGTAAGACTTCGATTAACTTTTTGTTGGCTCCGACAAATCCAATTCAGTCACGCAACGCAAAAGTCCAAGCATATCAACGATAAGAAAATCGTTGGGCTTCCTCCTTGGATAAATTCACCAATGACGCGTCAACGTTCAGCTTCCTTCTGCCAACAGGGGGAACCCTCTTTCTGACCCATTCCCTGCCACTGGCCTTCTCCACAGAGCTCATCTTCTCCTGCACATCTGAAACCTGAGCTTGCGTGGGTCGTGCTTATGGCCCTTGCTGGGCTCTGGTCGAAGTATCCCGCCAGCGTTCACATTTCCACGATTCCGCACAGGGTCAACTCCCGGAGGCTTCCGACACCATTTGCACAGGCCGCGGCCCGGTTGGTTTCCTCTCTGTTTCCCTTTAAATACGATCCGAAAAGGGCCAGCTTCACTTAGGGTGGCTATACGCTGGTTTGGGGGGTGGGGCTTAGGGTGGGCTTGCGGGTGGTTTGGGGTTCGTGCAAGGGCTGGTTGGTTTAGGGTTTAGGGTTGATGCAGGGTGGGTTCACGGCAGGTTCAAGGGTGGCTTTAAGGTGGCGGGTTTACTGTTGGTTTTGCGTTTGTGTAGGTTGTTGTAGGGTGGTGGGTTTAGGCTGGAGGGGGCTTGGGGTGGGTTTGGAGGTGGCTTTGGGGTTGGGTTTGGGGAGACGGTTTGGGGTAATAATTACTTGCCTGCTTGCGTGATGGATGGTGGGGCAAAACAAGCCAGCGGGAAAATACATCCTTAAATAGTTTATAGCACAACCCAAAAAAAGAAGGTGCCCTTCGGATAAACCTGTGTCCTGCCACACATATATTCGCCCAAGCGGCTTAGGTTTTTTCCTTGAGTACATGGATTACCAGGCTATACAGTTTTCAGCTATGTGCCATCGGAGAACAAAACAGAACCTGGCTGAAATGAAAGTGGCTGATTCAAATTGCGTGGCAAGGTGCCAAAGCAATGCTGGTCTCTCTTTCCTTCAGCTCTTTCTGCGCCACCTTTATCCGGTCAAGCTTCCTGGCAACGACGACGGTCAATTGATGCACAGAAACAACAAACACCACAATGACCCTGGTAGAAAAAGGGACCCTGTTTGGACTTGGCCAGGTCTAGCGAAGCCTGAAAGCACAAGGAGATAAAAAGGGCGCGGACCAATGCAGGATGGAGGTGTCCACAAGGTGTCCCGACACAGCCCACATGTATCCAAAGCTGGCAGTGAGGCTCAGCCTGAAACGTCCGTGTTCCATGGTCATGCTCAAGCCACGGACGGTTGAAGCAGCAAAGGCAGCGGCAACCCTTACTAAGCGGTACGTCCGAATCCCAAGTCCAAACAAATGCAATTGCTGGATGTGCAACAGGCAGAAATCACATATTTACGTGATTGATTGCTTTTTCTGCAAAACGAGCTGGGCAAACATGAAATCATTTTGAAATGGAGACACAGGCGCTATGTCATGTCCATGGCTGGACGGACCTGGTATGTCCGCGCCTCTGAGCAGCCTTGACCCTGGCGTCCACTTTCTCCATCACCTGGGGCAAAGAGCCGCTGGCCCCGAGCATTTCCAATTCTAGAAAGTTGACACGACTTTGCACAATGTTGCCAGCCCAATTGTTCCAGTTCACATAACCAAGGCAACCATCCTTACCAGAGGAAATGGCCGGTTGCCTAGTGGCAACTAGGATGCACTGGACCAGGTTTCCCTCTTCAGCATCAGCCAAGAAATAAGCTTCCTCAAAAATGGCCCAAAGGTAATTCGCGAAATACGACGTTCAAGGGAACATGTAAGAAGCCGTGTCAAGCACTGGTGTAGGTGGCTTGTGAGTGAAACGGGTCACGTGCTTTACCCTGAGGTGCTGCAAACTAGTCGTATGGCTTCAATCTCGAGATTGGGCATAGCTGTGAGGCAACAAGGCGAACTACAAGTCAATACAGCCTGCAACAAAGCAAACAGCCCTACCAACGAAAGCGGTAAAACAAAACCTGCCCATTTGCTTCTGGATTTGCTGTATGCCTCAATCGCACCATTTCTCTCCCCTGAGCGGGAACCTGTTGTGATTCTGTGGCTCAGCTTCCTGATTGGCGCGCGCTTCGGATGGGTGATATTGGTGACTTGGAGGTGAGTGAAGCCAATAATCACTGAGTGGAGTCACGCATTTGAGTGGGCCTATGGGTCTTTAGTTGGTCACGGTTGCTCTGGTCGCCTGGTATCGAACGCTGTTTTGGCTGCTGTTCTTCTCAAGTGCTACTTTTCCCCCTATCAACTCAGCGCAACCGGGGGTGGGTTGGGGGGTGGGGGGGGGGATAATTGCCTTCGGTCCCTACGGTTCTTTTCACGGCTCGGTAGGGGTGTCTGCTGACCCTGGCCCAGTTGAGTCCTGGGAAGATGTACAGACCAGTGGCTTGTTGAATTGTGTCAGCAAACGTGTTGTTTCTGGAATTCATCCTGATGGTGCATTGTGTTGGCCAAAAGCAGCTCGCATCCTGAAAGCCAATAACTTTCATCAGGTGAACTACCAACTAAAAGAATTCTGTAGACACGTAAATGATGTCAGAAGTCTCAAGTTGTCCAAGGCTCATGGAACTCAATCGGTTGATTGTGAATGGCAGCATTGAAAGCTTTCTTGCCTCCGCAGCTCCACCGCAAATGTTGCTGTGACAATACTTCGGATGTCAATGCTCATCTGAAACAAAGAACTGATCAATTCGTGTGGAGACGAAGTTTGGGAACTGCTTCGCCTAATGCTTTTTTTGGGGGCATTGGCGAAATTGTCGTGCAATTAGCCGAACGAAGTAGTTTTGCATGATGACGCCTGCCTCGCTGCGAGTGAAATGAGCAAAAAACCAACCAGGCGACTAGCGCAACCGTGACCCTTTAGTTTCCCATATCCATCAGCCAGCGGCCCACCACGTGGGCCAACGTTAGGCCCTCTGACCGGAAGCCCAGCTGCCGTTTCCGCAGAAGCAGCCCCAAAACCAAGGCTCAAAGAAAATGCGGGCTGCATCACTTTCCTCCGAACTAACCTGGAAGCCACCAGGCACCTCTTTCAACTGGACAGCCCCCTAAGAGTCCCAAAAGCCGCCCCAGCTGCCAAATTCGCGTGGAGAGCCCTGTCACGTTGCCCAGGCCCGGCCTTCTTCATGGGAGTTGAGAAAAGAACCTGCTGGCTGCTTCCTGGGCTACCGCCAGTCACATGAAGTGGGGCGAATCGTCCAACGGAGATGTCAAAAAGCCAACCCGCCCAAGGCAACTATCCGCTTTTGCAAAGCTTGCAAGTAGGGTACCTGCCTCTCGAAGGCGTGCTTGAGCAGCCAGAGGTGAATCTAGTGTAACCACCTGGTATGAACTTGTCTTCTGATAGAAAGAGGGTGCCTGCAGATTTGCTAAATTCCGGCATGCCCCCAGTTTTGGGTGTACCTCAACATCAAGATACCTACCTTTTGGAACCAGCGATAGTGATGTCGATGCCCAAAACCCCTACATGGGATGACCAATGGTGAGACCAGAAAAAAAGATACTTGCACTCCTAAATGGAAAGAGCTATCTATGTCATTCTGGGGCCGAACGGAATATTGAACGACCCCCAAGTAGCAAGAGATCACTTGTCTCAGGTCTGCGAAGCATGAGGAGTTACGGGCGCCGAATGTTGTAGCATGCAACGGTCGACGCAAGTCTGCGCACTGCAAAACATTTCATCGTGGCACGCGGTCGAAGCTATGTTCAATGTTGAGCCAAATGCTCAAACCATGACGGATTGGGGGTTGTGTATGTCCCCAATCTAACAGCTGGCCGAGAAACACCCGGCCATCAACCTAGTCTACACATGTATGCATTCGTCCAAATGTCCCTCAACCATTGCTGGTCGATTCTAGGCACAACGGCATCTGCTTCTTGGCTTCTGCTCGCTCAACCCTACTTTAGTTCCCAAGCCAACAATGTGTGCTACACTTCTTGTCAACAGCCTGGCATACCACAAAAAATGTCTCGACTAATTACATATGAAGTGTCAGAGAGACCCCGACGGTTCTCCAACTGAAGATTCCTCTAAACATGTGTTTCGGGTGTTGCAAATTGGAATGGCTTTGGTTCCTTGGTTCTCTCTTGACTCACTTGCCCAAAGGACCTAGACCTGGAGATAAAAGATTTAAGCTTTTGAGACCTTGGGCCAAAGCAGGAAAACAAAAGGCCAAAGGTCGACTCGCTTCGGGCAACTGGGAGCTTGCCCAGAGGCGTCGTTGCTGTGTTGGGCCTCGGACGGCTTGAGGGATTTCCTACGGATCGGAACGGCTCAGGTGTTTGGTGGCCACCGCCACCGCCGCTTCCAGGCTCAGCACCTACCGCGTGTCTCAGCCGGTGCCGCTTGGTTGGCGCCTCGAGGTGTTGTTGTTGGTGGTTGGTGCCATTTGGGTATGCGTCAAAATAGGGGGACTAATGTTTCAAAGGTTATATTCCTGCTGGCTGTCTTGGGAACAACCCAAGGATACTCTGGGCAAAGCACACACAGCACCCCAAGGGTCATGCCCCTGGTTTCGATGAATTCTTCTGGTAGCATGTCGTCCATCCACCCACAGTTCACCTACTAACCTACAGCAGGGGAAAAAGGGCTTTTCCTGCCCTTTGGTTCACTTCTGGCAGGGCGCCAATAAAACCCACAGAACAAGGTGTCAACGGGCCAGTCGCCAATGCAGGTTGATTTGCACAATTGGTTGTCAAATAATGCAATGTCACCTAGACTTGGGGCTTAGCTAGATTTAAATCGCTTAATAGCTGAGGCCTCTTTGCCTTCGCCTCACTCTCATCAGTGGCTTTGCTTGACACTGGCCCAAAAGCTATCAAGAAGGATTTTCACCCCCGCCTGCCACCTCTCCATGTGCCCCAGGCACCTACATTTGGGTAACTCCTGGGCCTCTGTCTTGTTTGGGTCCGGCCGCAAGCCGCAAGTTCCAGGGTTTTAAGCATCGAAGTGGCATTCCCCAAGTGCAACCCTGCGGTTGCGTGGTGCATCTTCTGGGCCGAACGGCCGGGAATTCGACCGAACGCCAACCGCTTCCGGGCCCAGCCTCCTGCGCATCGAGGGGCGAGAACGCGGGATCGGACGGATCATCCGGCGCTCTGAACCTGGGGCTTTCCGCGCCCCATTTGGTCCTCGCCTTGACACCTGGTAAACGAAAAGGGACCCCAAAGGCTCATTCTCGTCCCCTTTAACTCGACAATCTGGGCAGAGTTGGTACATTTACCAACCTGAACTCAGGGACCCAAAGCAGACACCTTCCTGGGTTTTCGGGCGCGAGGTTGTTGCATTTACCAAGATTCACGAGGGTTCCAAACGTCCTGCCTTCTGCTGAAGGAATTTTCGCTGTGGCGCCAGCCCGAGTCCTACGCTAACCTTCAGGGGGCTCGGGGAGCTGGGAAGGCTGCCAAAATTCCTGAAGCAGGGGTCGCTAGCTGTATAATGATCAAATTATAGGGAAACCTCTAGAGATCAACTCCGGTCAACTTGCTTTGGTGTTTTAGCTGAGCGAAACTCTTCACTTTACCGGACCCAATCTGCTCTCTTTTGGAGGGGCCCCCTTTAGTGGGAGTTTGCATGGGCCCGCCCCCCAGCCATTCTTTTTGGAAGAAAAGGAAACCAGGGACACCAAAAGATTTTTGGGGAACCCCTCCGCCCCGTTTTCAGCCAACCCCACACACACAAACCTGAGCTCTGGGCTCCCGAGTGACTTCCGAGCCGCTGCTCCAAGAGCTCATGGCCCAACTGCTCACGCAGCACCAGCAGCACTTCGCTGTTGCCATCCGCCACCATGCCTCGCGCATTTTTCGCATTTGTTTTTTCCGCATGTGTGCGGCGAAGAGGAGGTGGAGATGTCTGGCCAAAAAAAAGCTAGCTGAGCTGTGAAACAGCCAGCTGTGGGAATGTTGTTTCACGGGCATAAACTGTTCTTAGGCTTCTCCAGTGCTTCCCGCACGTTCTTAAGATTTACTTGCGTGAGTTTAGCATACCCCGAAAGTGGACAAGTTGGTTTTGGCCCGAGAATGCGGAAGCGAAGGTCTTTCCTGATGGCCGTGGTTCTGAGTTGACTTGCCATCGAAACATCTGGTGGCTGTCCCAATTCCAACGTCCTTGTCAGGTTGCTTAAAAACAAATAAAACAAATCGGACAAACAACGACAAAGGACCCCGCCGTGGCCTGGGTGTTGGGACCAGTAAGGGTTGGTCAGAGCCATTCAAGTGAATATGATACAAGCAATTGAGGGTGTTCACCTTTGTGACTGCAATGGGGAAAGAAAGCAGGAAAAACACAACCTCAATCAGTTAGCCTTGAATATGTGAGTCAGTCGCAAGCCAGCTGTGACTCGACACTTCAAACACGCGATGCGCAAGGCCGACACTGGGCCGACGGGTCGAAAAGAGTGTAGCGAACATGACCTCAAGCAGCTTGAACAGTTGCAAAGCCCAGGGCTGGAAAAGGAGGAACAAATCAATCAAGGCGTTGCTGCACTTTGTGTAAGACGCGTGATGGTCGTGGTAGCTGCTCTCGGGGGTCGACGTAATGCGCCAAGATTGACATCATTGATGCGAAAATACCAGTTGCTGCCACTTGTAACGTGGAATTCACGAAGCCAACGAGGAACATGCACGCCCCCCTTGGCATGATTCGGTCCGTCTACAAAGCCGAGGTCAAACATCCATTGCGGTTTTGAAGGGCCACCGATACCCGGAAAATGGGGGGAACGCCCGCCAAGCAGAACGTAAGTTGCATTGTTCCTCCAGCTTGCCAAGATGCAGCGAACGCCCTTGGACCGCCACTCTGTCAAGATGCTCCGCAGCATCCTGAGACTCACAAGACACGCCGCTCGTTGGTTCTTGCTCCCTGGTTGCTGTCCCGGACCCCATCAGCTTCCTTCGCCTGAAGGGACTGAAGCTACAACAACAGATCCGCAGGCCAACTCGCGTTGCCTGCTGACATGTGTGGGCCCGCTTTGGGGAGGCGTGGGGTTGCTATCCAGATCCCATCGGTCAAAGCGTCTCGATGGCAGAGTAGTCCACCACAGGCACAGCCACCATGTTCAGCACCACGAACCTCTGGAGCTCCACTCCCACGCTGCTGGTATTGTGGGTGTGTTTCTTGAAGGGAACCCTGGTTGGTTGGTTGGTTTTCCAGGAAAACCCAAAGGAAAACCACCATTTCCTTTTCTTGGTGCGGGGGGGGTCCCCAAAAAGCCACACAGCCATTTGGGTGGAGGAGAGGTTGTCAAAATTAGACACCCTGACAGCCCCCAAAGAACGCGTAAGAGTTGCCGGGGTAGCAAGGATTTTCCAAAGGTTACCATATGAAAGGCCGAGCCAACCAGCCAAGCCCACGGCCTGTGCATACATTGTGTTGCAGATTTACATGTAACATTTCACGCAAAACCTGCCAGAGCACACTTGATCCCGTGTGTGACGTGTGTCCGCAAAACACTGTAAACGGCGCAAGGGCAAAATCCAAAAGATGCCCAGAGTGTCTGAAATTCTGGCCGAGGAACCGCACGGGGCGCTTCCCACCGCTCTTTTCGCTCTCAGAAACCCGGCGGCGCTCCACCTGTTTCGTTCGCAGGCTTGCAGGTGTCGAAGGCTGTTGACCCGTCGCACTAATAGGGTGTTCCCCGCCAAAGGTGATGAACCCTCACCAAAAGGGACACCCTATCAATCAATGAGGGGTTGATTTGACAGTGCAAATGACTAGAGCCAAGCCAAAACCAAAGGAACTCGTCTATTTCAGTCAAACTCACCTCACAGGACATCTGTGACAAACGCCTGATCGATGGCTGAATTTGGGGCGCACACACACATGCATACATACATACATATATATATATATACCCAAGCCTATGGGCCTATTTCAATTTCACATCTTTCAAGTGCTGCCATCTCAACCAATCTGTTTGGATTCCTGCCAGTCAGTTGTAACTGGCATAATACTTGGAATGGGGGTTGGGCAGCAAAAACACACAAACTAAATCAAGTCATGATCGATGCTCTGTTGTTTATTGTCGTTTTTTTTTTGGGGGGGGGAGGGGTCCCATTTCCCCTCTACAAGAACCTGAGCTTCATATCCCTAGATCAATCCAAACCACCACTTGAGGGGTACTCGAGCGAGCTTTCCACGAAAGGAAACGCGGCATCTGGGGAAT